TATCTATCTATCTATCTATCTATCTATCTATATATATATATATATATATATATATATATATATATGTATGTATGTATGTATGCAGGTTTCATTAAAAACGACAGACAAGGTACTACAGTTAAGCTTTTTATTTGATTTTTCTTGTGTTCTAACAAGAGCTTTCTTTTCTGGTGTGTAAGAATTGTCCAAATGTTTTATATTTCCGAGCGCTTCCGGCTATACCTTAAGCCATTATCAAGGATGATTCGATTTTTCAGCTTAATTGAGTGTGTGCATTATGTGTATGTCTTAGTGTGTGGAAGGAATGTTTTTAATTTCCGAATACGATTATCACATTGTGGCTTTGTTCGTAGTTAATATTGTTAAGAGTTTGCCTTTTCTTTTTATTGTTAAAGCTTCCATTATTTTTTATCTTTTTTTTACAGGTGGATGCAGTTAATATATCTGTGTTTTCTACTAGCATGTTTTTAATGGAGGCGGGTAAATTTGTGTGTGAGCTTAAATGGGTTCTAATGGAGCTGTGATCAGATAGGTGTAAGACGTCATGATAAGCATGTAGTTGTGCAACCGATGTAATTATTTTTGAGTCCGGTTTGATCCGGAACACATAGAAATAGAAAATTAAATAAAAAGCTTAACCGTAGTAACTTGTCTGTCGTTTTTAATGAAAACATACATAAACGAAGGATTGCTTCCCAACTATACAACTATATATATATATATATATATATATATATATATATATATATATATATATATATATATATATATATATAAGAAAATAAATATTTATTATAGTGACGTTTGAAGTAATAAAAAAGCCCACAGGTTAAAAATAAATCCATTGATATATATATATATATATATATATATATATATATATATATATATATATATATATCTTATATCATGCTCGAAAACAATATTCAGGCCAGGGCCTGAAAATTGCATTCAAGCATGACTTTATACCTTATATTTACATACACTTTATGTCTCTGATAAAAGCAGTTTTACCTATAAATATAGTATATATTACAGCCGTATGTTTATCATATATATATATATATATATATATATATATATATATGTGTGTGTGTGTATGTGTGTGTGTGTGTGTATGAAATTTATATTGCTGTGATAGTCTATGCTTGTAGAATAAGCTTGTAGACATGTATTTCTAAATAAACGCCCATAAATAAATAGTTCTGAGCGTACAATTTTTCTGCAGTTATATACTCGCATCTAACTCATTTTAGCCGTATTTCCCTCCTTATTAACCTCAATAGTTTCTTCAAAAATATGCTCTAATATAAAACCAGCGTCTTCTTCTTCTTCTTCTTCTTCTTCTTCTTCTTCTTCTTCTTCTTCTTCTTCTAACATGTCCCCTGAATACGTAGGTGATTATGGCTCTTGTTTCCCTCTGACCCTTTTACCTTGTTCCGTCAACCATTTACTCAAACCCTCTAGGTAAGTTATGCATAGAAATTTCAACCGTCTCTTCTCGTCCAATATAACCCTTAATAAATTTTATCTTTTTGTTATCTATCCTAAACCTTGCTCCGTCAACCATTTACTCAATCCCTCTAGGTAAGTTATGCATTGTTTCCCTCTGTCCTTCTTGCCTTCAAACTGTCCTGTGAGTATCAATTTTTCCAAGCCTTCTTTCTTCATTATGTGCCCTAGAAATTTCAGCCGTCTCTTCCCGTCCAATATAGCCCTTAATAAATTTTATGTTTTTGTTATCTCTCCTAAACCTTGTTCCGTCAACCATTTACTCAATCCCTCTAGGTAAGTTATGCATTGTTTCCCTCTGTCCTTCTTGCCTTCAATCTGTCCTGTGAGTATCAAATTTTCCAAGCCTTCTTTCTTCATTATGTGCTCTAGAAATTTCAGCCGTCTCTTCCCGTCCAATATAACCCTTAATAAATTTTATCTTTTTGTTATCTCTCCTAAAACTTGTTCTGCTATACATTTACACAAACTAGCTAGGTAGGTTATGCATTGTTTCCCTCTGTCCTTCTTGCCTTCAATCTCTCCCATGAGTATCAAATTTTCCAAGCCCTCTTTCTTCTTTATGTGCCCTAGAAATTTTAACCATCTCTTCCCGTCCAATATAACCCTTAATAAATTTTATCTTTTTGTTATCTCTCCTAAACCTTGTTCCGTCAACCATTTACTCAAACTCTCTAGGTAAGTTTTGCATTGTTTCCCTCTGTCCCTCTTGCATTCAATCTGTCCTGTGAGTATGAAATTTTCCAAGCCTTCTTTCTTCATTATGTGCCCTAGAAATGTCAACCGTCTCTTCCTGATATTAAGCATAAGATTCCTCTCTGTTTCCATTTTCTCTAAAATTATGTTTTGCTCTCATGTTTGGTCCATTGTATTCTCAGCATACTGTTGCTTCAAATCTTCTTTTCATCTCTCATGAGATTTCCCAGAACTCACTGCCATACAGGAAGACAGACACTATTTAGCAGTTAATTATTCTTTTCTTCCTTTCTATCGAAAATTTATTTTTCTTAATACTCTGCTTAAATTTTGCTATGCATCTTTGGCTACCCAAATGCGCCTTCTGATTTCAATGGCACACATTACGGCATCTATTAAAAAACTTACCACATGTTTACATTTCAATGCTTGTTTGACTTTGGTATCTGTGATTTAACAATTCGCACATTGAGCTCATCTTTTGCGAACAACCAATCTGTCTTCCAGTAGTTGATGCATAATCCTTTATTTACGCTTTCCTTCACTACCTTCTGTCGAATTTTTTGAAGTTATCTTGTACTGCACTATATTTATAGTTAGATTATATCATTTTCTAGATGACATTGCGAGATGCAACCTTAAGTTTTATACTAACAATTTCTTCTATTTTATCAACTGTCTCTTCACTTTTTGATCATGGTACTCTCTTTTGGATTCTTGCTTTCTTCTCTTTTATCAACTGTCTCTTCCCTTTTTGCTTATGGTACTCTCTTCTGGATTCTTGCTTTCTTCATTTTTATTAACTGTCTCTTCACTTTTTGCTTATGGTACTCTCTTTTGGATTCTTGCTTTCTTCTCTTTTATCAACTGTCTCTTCACTTTTTGCTTATGGTGCTCTCTTTTGGATTCTTGCATACTTCTCTTTTATTAACTGCCTATTCCCTTTTTGCTTATGGTACTCTCTTTTGGATTCTTGCTTTCTTCACTTTTATTAACTGTCTCTTCACTTTTTTTGCTCATGGTACTCTTTTTGGATTCTTGCTTTCTTTTCTTTCACTTTTTTTATGGTAACTTTTGGATTCTTCACTTTTTTTGCTTATCTTACTTTTTGCTTATGGTATTCTTTGATTGCTTTTCTCTTTTATAAACTGTCTCTTCACTTTTTGCTTATGGTACTCTCTTTTTGATTCTTGCTTTCTTCTCTTTTATTTGTCTCTTCACTTTTTGCTTATGGTACTTCCCTTTTGATTTTGCTTTTCTTTTTTTTTATCAACTGTCTCTTCACTTTTTTTTGCTTATGGTACTCTCTTTTGGATTCTTGCTTTCTTTTTTTTATCAACTGTCTCTTCACTTTTTGCTTATGGTACTCTCTTTTGAGTCTTGCTTTTTCTCTTTTATCAACTGTCTCTTCCATTTTTTGCTTATGGTACTCTCTTTTGGAGTCTTGCTTTTCTTCTCTTTTATTAACTAACCTTTTCCATTTTTTGCTTATGGTACTCTCTTTTGGATTCTTGCTTTCTTCTCTTTTTATCTATTCACTTTTTGCTTATGGTACTCTTTTGATTCTTGCTTTTTCTTTTTATCAACTGGTCTCTTCACTTTTTTGCTTATGGTACTTCTTTTGATTCTTGCTTTTCTCTTTTATTAACTGTCTCTTCTTTTTTTGCTTATGGTACTTCTTTTGGAGTCTTGTTTCTTCTATTTTATTAACTGCCTCTTCCCTTTTTGCTTATGGTACTCTCTTTTGGATTCTTGCTTTTTTCTTTTTATAAACTTCTTCACTTTTTGCTTATGGTACTCTCTTTTGATTCTTGCTTTCTTCTCTTTTTATTAACTGCCTCTTGCCTTTTGCTTATGTACTCTCTTTTGGATTCTTGTTTTCTTCTCTTTTTATTAACTGTCTCTTCACTTTTTGCTTATGGTACTCTCTTTTTGGATTCTTGCTTTCTTCTCTTTTATTAACTGCCTCTTCCATTTTTTGCTTATGGTACTCTCTTTTTGATTCTTGCTTTCTTTCTTTTTTATTAACTGTCTCTTCACTTTTTTTGCTTATGGCACTCTCTTTTGGATTCTTGCTTTCTTCTCTTTTTATTAACTGTCTCTTTCCATTTTTGCTCATGGTACTTTTTTGATTCTTGTTTTCTTCTTTTATCAACTGTCTCTTCACTTTTTTGCTTATGGTTCTTTTTTGATTCTTGCTTTCTTCTCTTTTATTAACTGTCTCTTTGCTTTTTGCTCTTTTTGGATTCTTGCTTTATTCTTTTTTATTAACTGTCTTTTCACTTTTTTGCTTCTCTTTTGGATTCTTGCTTTTTCTTTTATTAACTGTCTTTCCTTTTTTGCTTATGGTACTCTCTTTTGGATTCTTGTTTTCTTCTCTTTTATTAACTGTCTCTTCACTTTTTGCTCATGGCACTCTCTTTTGGATTCTTGCTTTATTCTCTTTTATCAATTGTCTCTTCACTTTTTGCTCATGGTACTCTCTTTTGGATTCTTGCTTTCTTCTCTTTTATTAACTGCCTCTTCACTTTTTGCTTATGGTAATCTCTTTGGATTCTTGTTTTCTTCTCTTTTATCAAGTGTCTCTTCACTTTTTGCTCATGGTACTCTCTTTTTGATTCTTTTTCTCTTCTCTTTTATCAACTGTCTCTTCACTTTTTGCTCATGGTACTCTCTTTTGGATTCTTGCTTTCTTCTATTTTATTAACTGCCTCTTCCCTTTTTGCTTATGGTACTCTCTTTTGGATTCTTGCTTTCTTCTCTTTTATTAACTGTCTCTTAACTTTTTGCTTATGGCACTCTCTTTTGGATTCTTGCATTCTTCTCTTTTATTAACTGCCTCTTCACTTTTTGCCCATGGCACTCTCTTTTGGATTCTTGCATACTTCTCTTTTATTAACTGCCTCTTCACTTTATGCTTATGGTACTCTCTTTTTGATTCTTGCTTTCTTACCTTTTATCAACTGTCTCTTCACTTTTTGCTCATGGCACTCTTTTGGATTCTTGCTTTCTTCTCTTTTATTAACTGCCTCTTCACTTTTTGCTCATGGTACTCTCTTTTGGATTCTTGCTTTCTTCTCTTTTATCAATTGTCTCTTCACTTTTTGCTCATGGTACTCTCTTTTGGATTCTTGCTTTCTTCTCTTTTATTAACTGCCTCTTCACTTTTTGCTTATGGTACTCTCTTTGGATTCTTGTTTTCTTCTCTTTTATCAAGTGTCTCTTCATTTTTGCTCATGGTACTCTCTTTTTGATTATTTTTTTTCTTCTCTTTTATCAAATGTCTCTTCACTTTTTGCTTATGGTACTCTCTTTTGGATTCTTGCATTCTTCTCTTTTATTAACTGCCTCTTCACTTTTTGCTTATGGCACTCTCTTTTGGATTCTTGTTTTCTTCTCTTTTTTTTAATTCTTCCCTTTTGCTTATGGTTTCTTTTGATTCTTGCTTTCTCTTTTATTAACTGCCTCTTCATTTTTTGCTTATGGCACTCTCTTTTTGATTCTTGTTTTCTTCTCTTTTATTAACTGTCTCTTAACTTTTTGCTTATGGCACTCTCTTTTGGATTCTTGCTTTCTTCTCTTTTATTAACTGCCTCTTCCCTTTTTGCTCATGGTACTCTCTTTTGGATTCTTGTTTTCTTCTCTTTTATCAACTGTCTCTTCACTTTTTGCTTATGGCACTCTCTTTTGGATTCTTGCTTTCTTCTCTTTTATTAACTGCCTCTTCCCTTTTTGCTTATGGTACTCTCTTTTGGATTCTTGCTTTATTCTCTTTTATTAACTGTCTCTTCACTTTTTGCTCATGGCACTCTCTTTTGGATTCTTGTTTTCTTCTCTTTTATTAACTGTCTCTTCCCTTTTTGCTTATGGTACTCTCTTTTGGATTCTTGTTTTCTTCTCTTTTATTAACTGTCTCTTCACTTTTTGCTTATGGCACTCTCTTTTGGATTCTTGCTTTATTCTCTTTTATCAATTGTCTCTTCACTTTTTGCTCATGGTACTCTCTTTTGGATTCTTGCTTTCTTCTCTTTTATTAACTGTCTCTTCACTTTTTGCTTATGGTACTCTCTTTTGATTCTTTGTTTTCTTCTCTTTTATCAATTGTCTCTTCACTTTTTGCTCATGGTACTCTCTTTTTGATTCTTTTATTCTTCTCTTTTATCAAATGTCTCTTCACTTTTTGCACATGGTACTCTCTTTTTGGATTCTTGTTTTTTTTCTCATTTTATATTAACTGCCTCTTCTTTTTTTTGCTTATGGTACTCTCTTTTGATTCTTTTTTTTTCTCTTTTATCAATTGTCTCTTCACTTTTTTGCTCATGGTACTCTCTTTTTGGATTCTTGCATTCTTCTCTTTTATTAACTGCTCTCTTCACTTTTTGCTTATGGTTTTCTCTTTTGGATTCTTGCTTTTTTTCTTCTTTTTTTTATCAACTGTCTCTTCACTTTTTGCTCATGGTACTCTCTCTTTTGATTCTTGCTTTCTTCTCTTTTTATTAACTGTCTCTTCACTTTTTGCTCATGGCACTCTTTTTGATTCTTGCTTTCTTCTCTTTTATTAACTTCTTCACTTTCTTATGGTTTTTTTTGATTCTTGTTTTCTCTTTTTATTAACTGCCTCTTCACTTTTTGCTTATGGTACTCTCTTTTTGATTCTTTTTTTCTTCTCTTTTATCAAATGTCTCTTCACTTTTTGCTCATGGTACTCTCTTTTGGATTCTTGCTTTCTTCTCTTTTATTAACTGCCTCTTCACTTTTTGCTCATGGTACTCTCTTTTGGATTCTTGCTTTCTTCTCTTTTATTAACTGCCTCTTCACTTTTTGCTTATGGTACTCTCTTTTGGATTCTTGCATTCTTCTCTTTTATTAACTGCCTCTTCACTTTTTGCTCATGGTACTCTCTTTTTGATTTTTTTTTCTTCTCTTTTATCAACTGTCTCTTCACTTTTTGCTCATGGTACTCTCTTTTTGATTCTTTTTTTCTTCTCTTTTATCAACTGTCTCTTCACATTTTGCTTATGGTACTCTCTTTTGGATTCTTGCATTCTTCTCTTTTATTAACTGCCTCTTCACTTTTTGCTCATGGTACTCTCTTTTGGATTCTTGCATTCTTCTCTTTTATTAACTGCCTCTTCACTTTTTGCTTATGGTACTCTCTTTGGATTCTTTTTTTCTCTTTTATTCAACTGTCTTTCACTTTTTGCTCATGGTACTCTCTTTTGATTCTTTTTTCTTCTTTTTATTCAATTGTCTCTTCACTTTTTGCTCATGGTACTTTCTTTTTTGGATTCTTGCATTTTCTCTTTTATTAACTGCCTCTTCACTTTTTTGCTTATGGTACTCTCTTTTGGATTCTTGCATTTTTCTCTTTTTATTAACTGCCTCTTCACTTTTTTGCTTATGGTACTCTCTTTTGGATTCTTGCATGTTTTCATCTTTTTTATTAACTCTTCTCTTTTGCTTTTGGCTCATTTGATTCTCTCTTTTATTAACTCTTCACTTTTGCTCATTCTCTTTTTTATTCTTGTTTTCTTCTCTTTTATTAACTGCTTCACTCTTTTTGCTCAGGAACTCTTTTTGATTCTTTTTTTCTTCTCTTTTATTAAATGTCTCTTCACTTTTTTTATGGCTCTTTTGGATTCTTGCATTCTTCTTTTTTTATTAACTGCCTTTTCCCTTTTTCTCTTTTTGGATTCTTGCATTCTTTCTTTTATTAACTGCCCTTTCACTCTTCACTTTTTTTGCTCATGGTACTCTCTTTTTTGGATTCTTTGTTTTCTTCTCTTTTATTAACTGTCTCTTCACTTTTTGCTCATGGTACTCTCTTTTTTGATTCTTGCTTTCTTCTCTTTTATTAACTGTCTCTTCACTTTTTGCTCATGGTACTCTCTTTTGGATTCTTTTTCTTCTCTTTTTATTAACTGTCTCTTCACTTTTTTGCTCATGGTACTCTCTTTTGATTCTTGCTTTCTTCTCTTTTATTAACTGTCTCTTCTTTTTGCTTATGGTACTCTTTTGATTCTTTTTTTCTTCTCTTTTATTAACTTTCTTCACTTTTTTGTACTTCTCTTTTTTGATTCTTGCATTCTTCTTTTGGATTCTTGCATTCTTCTCTTTTTATTAACTGCCTCTTCACTTTTTGCTTATGGTCTTCTTTTTTTTGATTCTTTATTTCTTCTTTTTTATTAACTGATTTTTGTATTCTTCATTTTATTTTTGCTTATGGTACTCTCTTTTTGATTCTTGCTTTTCTTTCTCTTTTACTTTTTTAACATTTGCCTCTCTTCACCTTTTTTGCTCATGGTACTCTCTTTTGGATTCTTGCTTTTATTCTTCTCTTTTATTAACTGCCTCTTCTTTTTTTTTGCTTCATGGTACTCTCTTTTGGATTCTTGCATTCTTTCTTTTTATTAACTGCCTCTTCACTTTTTGCTTATGGTAACTCTCTTTTTTGGATTCTTTTTTTCTTTTATTCTTCTCTTTTATTAACTGTTTGGATTCTTTCACTTTTGCTTTTGCTCATGGCACTCTTTTTGATTCTTTTCTTCTCTTTTATTAACTGTCTCTTTTGCTTATGGCTCTTTTGATTCTTGCATTCTTCTTTTATTAACTGCTCTTCTTTTTGCTCATGGTACTTTTTTGATTCTTGTTTTCTTCTCTTTTTATTAACTGTCCTCTTTGCTTTTGCTCATGGTACTCTTTTGGATTCTTTTTTTCTTTCTTTTCTCTTTATCTTTATTAACTGCCTTATTTTTTTCTTTCATTCTTTTGCTTTTTATGGTCTTTAATCTTCTTTTGGATTCTTTTTGCTTTCTTTTTTCTTTTATTAACTGTTTTCATTTTGCTTATGGTGTCTCTCTTTTGCTTTCTTTTATTTTTTTGCCTCTTCATGGTACTCTCTTTTGATTCTTGCTTTCTTCTCTTTTATTAACTGTCTCTTCACTTTTTGCTTTTTTTGATTCTTGCATTCTCTTTTATTAACTGCTCTTCACTTTTTTTTCTCTTTTGGATTCTTGCATTCTTCTCTTTTATTGCTTTTTTTGCTTCTTTTTTGGATTCTTTGGTCTTTTCCTTTTTTGCTCTTTGATTCTTGCACTTCTCTTTTATTAATTCTTGCTTTTTTTTTATTCTCTTTTTTGATTCTTGCTTTTTTTTTATTAACTGTCTCTTTCACTTTTTGCTCATGGCACTCTCTTTTGGATTCTTGCTTTTTTTCTCTTTTATTGTTTTTTTCTTCTGTCTCTTCACTTTTTGCTCATGGCACTCTTCACTTTTGATTCTTTTTTCTTCTCTTTTTTATTAATTTCCTTTTTTCACTTTTTGATTATTTTTTCTTCTCTTTATTGGATTCTTCACGTTTTGCTTATTTTTCTATTCTTTCTTTATTAACTGCCTCTTCACTTTTTGCTATGGTACTTTTGGATTCTTGCTTTTCTCTTTTTATTAACTTTTACTGCACTTTTTTGCTCATGGTACTTTCTCTTTTTGATTCTTTCTTTCTTTTTTCTCTTTCACATTTTACCATGGTACTTCTTTTGATTCTTTCTTTTTATTAACTGCCTCTTCACTTTTTGTTTTGGTACTCTCTTTTGATTCTTGTTTTCTTTCTTCTCTTTTTTATTTCTTTTGATTCTTCTCTTTTTCACTTTTGCTTCTTTTTGCTTATGGTACTCTCTTTTGATTCTTGTTTTCTTCTCTTTTATCAACTGTAACTGTCTCTTCACTTTTTTGATTCATGGTACTCTTTTGGATTCTTGCTTTAGATTTTTTCTTCTTTTTATTAACTGTCTCTTCACTTTTTGCTCATGGTACTTTCTTTTGATTCTTATTTTTTTCTTTTATTTCTCTTTTTATTAACTGTCTCTTTCTTTTTTTGCTTATGGTACTCTCACTTTTTTGGATGGCACTCTCTTTTTCTTCTTTTTTATTAACTGCCTCTTCATTTTTTGCTTATGGTACTCTCTTTTGATTCTTTTTTTCTTCTCTTTTATCAAATGTCTCTTCACTTTTTTGCTTATGGTACTCTCTTTGATTCTTCTCTTTTTGATTCTTTTTGCTTTGATTTTGCATTATTCTCTTTATTAACTGCCTCTTCACTTTTTGCTCATGGTACTTTTGGATTCTTCTTTTGATTTTTGCATTCTTCTTTTTGTTAACTACTTTTTTGATTCTTTTTTTTTTCTCTTTATGGTACTCTTCACGTTTTTTATGGTTCTTTTTGATTCTTTTTTCTCTTTTTATAACTGTCTCTTCACTTTTGCTCATAACCTTCACTTTTTTTTGCTCATGGATTTTTTACTTTTTATTGTCTCTTCCTTTTTTTTTATGGTTCTTTTGATTCTTGCTTTTCTTTTATTATTAACTCTCTTCACTTTTTGCTCATTCTTCTTTTGATTTTTGCATTCTTTTTTTTATTAACTGCCTCTTCACTTTTTTGATTCTTGCTTTATTAACTGCCTCTTCACTTTTTGCTTATGATTCTCTTTTGATTCTTGTTTTCTTCTCTTTTATCAACTGTCTCTTCTTTTTGCTTATGGCACTCTTTTTGGATTCTTTTTCTTTCTTTTTATCAATTGTTCTTCCTTTTTTTATCAACTCTCTGTCTTTTTGTTTGTTTTTTTTTGCTTATGGCTTTCCTTTTCTTTTATTCTTGCATTTTTCTCATGGTTCTCTTTTTTTTTTTCTTCTTTTATCAACTCTTCACTTTTTGCTTATGGTACTCTCTTTTGATTCTTGCATTCTTCTCTTTTATTAACTGCCTCTTCTTTTTTCATGGTTTCTTTTGGATTCTTGCTTATTCTTTTATTAACTGTCTCTTCACTTTTTGCTTATGGCACTCTCTTTGGATTCTTTTGTTTTCTCTCTTTCACTTTTTTTGCTTATGGACTTTCTTTTGATTCTTTTTTTTCTCTTTTTTCAAATGTCTCTTCACTTTTTTGCTCATGGTTTTTGATTCTTATTTTATTAACTGCTCTTCACTTTTTTTTGCTTATTACTTTCTCTTTTCTTCTCTTTTATTAACTTCCTTCACTTTTTGCTTCACTTTTTGCTTATGGTTCTTCTCTTTTTCAATTGTTCTTCACTTTTTTCTTCTCTTTTTATTAACTGCCTATTTCTTCACTGCCTTTTTGCTTTTATGGTACTCTCTTTTGGATTCTTTTTTCTTCTCTTTTATAAACTTTTTTCTTCACTCTTTTTTTCTTGCATTCTCTTTTATGGTACTTTCTTTTGATTTTTATTTGCTTCACTTTTATTTATTCTCTTTTTTGATTCTTGTTTTCTTCTTTTCATTTTTGCTCATGGTATTCTCTTTTGATATGATCTTCTCATTTAAACTGTATTCTCTTTGATATGATCTGGCATTTATGTATTCTCTCTTTGATATGATCTGGCATTTAATGGTATTTCTTTTGATATGATCTGGCATTTAATGCAGTTTCTCTTTATCATCTGGCATTTAATGCAGTATTTTCTTTTGATATCATCTGGCATTTTTTTGCTTATGGATTTTTGATATGATCTTATTAATTTTGATGCATCTTGGCATTTTTCTCTTTTGATA